GTTCCTGTCTGTAGCCATTCTTTTGTCATAAATAAGTTGCTCAGTAGCTTCTTTGTTGACTAAATTGATAACCCCTTGTGCTATTTTGCTATATCTTCTATAAAGTTCAAAGATAAGCTCTGATTTTTACTCACTTATCAGAAGACTGAGTCTCAAATAGTAATCTATAACATATTTCTGACTTAATACTATTAAAGTTTAGGCAAAATATGTTTTTCATTTAACGCCTGACAATTTTAAATGTCAATATTACAACATTTCTAAATATTTCTTTTAAAAGCTACCAAAAATGCTGTAACGTTTTTTGTTTTTGTTTACACAAAACAGCAGAAAATGAATGTTTATACAGCTTCGAATTAATTTTATGTTCCTATTGTATGAATAATGCATGAAATTCTTTTTAATTACAATAGCTGTATTTGAACTTCAGAACCCTTCAAAACAAAGACTCAGAAAGGAGACACAAAGAAAGCTAACATTTTCAATTCTAGCCTCTCACTGTGCAGAAACATCTTGCAAGACAACAACAAACTAACTGCACAGGATGGTTTGATAGGCATTATTATAAATAACTGCTATAAAAAGTTAATTTATAAACACAGGTCTCTAATATAGCTATCACATTCCAAACAAACTGTTAAATATGAATACTAGATTTGTGTATTCTTTCAGATGATTCTCTGTCAAAGAAATGAACTAATCTTACAATAAAGAATACAATATTATAGTTTTAAATTCTAACTTGCCCTGCAAGAAGGGAGCACTTTTTAAAAACACATTCTACGGACTTTATGTGCAAAGCAAGGAAATTCCCTGACAAACAGGTTTAATTCTAGGTGTCTGTAATTAATATATAAAGGCAAAGATCATATTGGAAGATTTCAGGCATCTTTACTGTCAAATTAAAGGAATCCACAAAATCTTACTTCATTTCTGCCCTTGGAAACAGGTGCAATCCTTAGCACCACCAAAGTAAAAATTGGTATATGATCAGTTGATGGTATAACTGATTTGATATCCCCAAACAGTTTTGCTCAATGACTACTTTCAAACAAGTAGGACAGACAGTGTCATAAATGCTTAGTTCCCCATTTTCTTCTCACTATATACTGGAATGCTTAGGGACTTAACTCTTGCCTACACTAAACTGCTTTGTCAGCAAAAGGCAGCATAGGTACTGCTTCCTCTGGGCCCCATAGGTGCTCCCCCCCCTTTGCTCCAGTACTCAGCCCCTTTCCTGAAGTCCCCCCACTCAGCCCCTTTCCTCAAGTACTTCTCACTCCACCTCTTCGCTGCCTCTTGTTACTCTCTCCCTCCCCTACGCTTGCTCCATCCCCGCTCCTCTCCCTTCTTCCCAGTACCTCCTGCATGCTAAGAAACAGCTTATTGTGACAAACAGGAAGCAGTAGGAGGGAAAGGGGATCTCTAAAAATCCTCAATCAGTGCAATATTAAACTTACTCAGCAGCATCAACCAAGAGAAACTTCCTCTCCTCCTTTGACTTTTTCACGAGTTATTATTCTAATTTGTTCATACAATATGCAAAGCAAAATTAATTTCTCTTTTTAGCACATTGAGGCTTCCCCAAATCCAGAGCAATCAGGATCTGACTAGCAATACTGAACACGAGTTATAAACTAGAAGAAATCACTGTCCCAAAAACATGGCATATATGCTCCTTGTCCACAGAGAAAAAGATAGATAATATTAAACAACAAGGAATGAACTAACAAAGTGCTAGGTTACATATATTTCCTCTATGGGGAAGAAATAATAGAAAAAATATCAAGTACCAAATTAAAACATGAAGTCTCAGAAGAAAAAAACAAAACAAAACACCCCCCCCCACACACACACACACTTTGCATTAAAAAAAAAAATCAGCATAGAATAAAAAATATGCCAAAACATCAATCAAGAGAAAAATGGTTGTTCAGCTAGGTGGGGCCTTGTAACTCCTTAGGGCATGATTATAAATATACTCAAGACATGCCCGTCAATCATTTAATAGCTTGCCCTGAAGCTAGATTCTCGACTGGGTTCAGTACATGTCAATCACTAAGTCACATGACTTGGAAATGGCAAACAACGCAGAAAGTTCACTAGTTAAGTAAGCATAATGTACTTCAGGGAAAAGTGATTTAATTTAAATAAACAGAAAATCCTTGGTGGAAAGTTTGTAAAGTAAGGAATTCTACCTGCCTTCCTGTAAATCTGTCTTCATTCTTTTTATAGCGAATAATGTGAAATGTACTGAGAGCTCTCTCAATACAAAGACTTCCATTTTTTCAGTCCCTTTATGCTTTGTTGTATTGGTAATACACACAGAAGAAAGAAAACAAAAAGATTATGAAAGTGTACATTTAAACTTTTAATACTTCATGTTTCATGATTTGCACATTACAAATATGAAGATTAAAATACATTTTATGCCTATAGATTTATTCTCTGATTCTAAATGAATAAGCCTTTTCAATGTGAATCTAAAATTTACATTCCAATTCAACTCTATTTTAGCACTAGGCTAAAAATACATATTTACTACAACTTTTGTAAAATCTAAAAGACACTTATGTTTTTATTGTCATGACTATGTCATGAGAAGTCCAAACTAACAGCCCAACTAGCAGCCAAGCCACCGACAAAGGGGCAGTTGCTCCAGGGTCCAGCAATTCAAAATGGCCCAGGACTCCCTACTGTGGCAGCAGGGGTGGCCAGAGCACCAAGCTTTTTAAATCACCACGATAGTGCCCCTTCCACCCAAGGCCTTGCATTTCCAGAAGCATGGAACCAACACCCCCATCATTCCTAAGGACCTGGCAAGTTAGTCGGCCCTTCTGCTAGGAGTGCCAGATGCTGCCTGTGTTATAGGAACATAAATGCGTAACTGGACATCAGAAGCTCCTTATTTCTGCTGTCAGCCCTGTAGAACAACAGCCAT